CAAGTGGACGGAAGGACACCTGCAAAGGCCCAAGGGTGGTGACGAGGGTGGAGGATATGGACAGAAAGGAAGGCTGTGGCTGAAGTGTGCGGGCGAGGATGCTGGGGTGAGAGAGGAGGCCGGCAGGGCAGGATCGCACAGACGGGAGGTGAGAAAATTCCAGGGGCGAGTGGCTCATAGAAGGTTTTAAGTGGGGAACGCTGTGATTTATGTTTTTACATCTCTCTCTGACTAGGGTATAGAGAACATACAGAAAGAGTCAGAGAAGAGGGAGGGAGAGTCGGGAAGCTTCTGCAGGGTCTGGGGGGTCAGGTCAGTGACTTAGCGCACGGCGGTGGCAGTGAGACAGGAAGAAGCCGACAGGTCAGTGACATAATTTGGGGGCAGAACGGATGGTATTTGTGGCTGCATCGGACCATGGATGGAGGGCGAAACCGAGGAGACAAGGATGACTTTGAGGCTTTGATGTCAGACTTCAGTGGATAGCAGTGCCATTTACTGAGATGGGGAAGATTCTGGGAGCAAACAGTATATGAGACGGAGGAAACTGGGAATTAAATTTTCTAAAATCTGAGGCAGTCGGGGATGCTGCTGTGTGCTACACTGATTCCCTTGAAGGCCAGCATTCCCCCACTGCCAGCAGGGCTGGCTGAGTCACAGCTGAGCCCATCCCCAGGCCTCACCCTCAGCACAAGGGACCTGACTCTCAAGATGACACCCCTTTCCCCAGAGTGGCTTGCAGCCAGTGATACACAAAGATCGGCCCCCTTGCCTCAATTCCAGACAACTCTGAAGGGCCATTCCAGCTCCAGACCTCCCTACAGGATCAGCGGAAGCCCTGTTACCACTGCATCTGAATTCCACATCTGCCTGTGCCCAGCCCTGCTTCTCCCACTTCCCTCATGGTGGCCCCAAGGACACCTCCCAGTGAAGCTTCTGCCCACAAATCTCCATCTCAGAGGCTGGTTCCCAATAACCCAAACTAAGAGTTGGTGCCAGGAGAAGTTCTAGGAATTAGACCCTAAAATAGGATTTCAGAGCTGCATCACCCACCAGCTGGACACAGGGACCCCACGCGCCTGGCATCTGTACAGGGCAACAGTTAAAACTTTCACTGGTGGTGCAGTGTCGCAACCATTTGAAAGTTACAGGGAAATAGAAATGATAAGGCAGAGAAATTCAGTGGCTGTCGCTAAGTATTACTGATGCGCTGGAGAAAGACAATAAAAATGCTGAGAATGATCAATCATTAATAAACTCAACTACTGCATACAGGATCCAAGTTGACATTGCTGCTGGGGGAGCAGAGTGTTATCACAGCCCCCCTTTTAGAGGGAATGGGGGTGGGGTTCACAGAACACATGGAGTCCTGGTTCAGGTTTGGTTCATAGTGGGCCCAGTGGGTCCCTGAGGTCGCCCAGTGAACATTTCCCCTGCCCCTGAATGTATAATTGGAATGGGTGAGCCTGGTCCTCGGTCTGTGAGATAAAGAACTATTATAGTGGGAGATAATGTACTGTGAAACTGCCTACCTCTCCCCAGGCAAGACAGTAAGTCGACAACAGTATTGCAACCCAATGAGAATGGTATATTTTAGTGAAATGCTTAAAGACCTAAAGAATTCAGGGGTGTCTGTCTCCATCACATCCCCATGTAAGTCATCAGTCTGGCCCCTCCAGAATTTAGACTGGTCCTGTCACATGACACTGGACTGCCACGATCTTAACCAAGCAGTAGCCACAATTGAACAGCTGTGCCAGATGGGGTATCTTTGCAGCAGATTAACAAGGTTCAGAGACAAGATGCATGACGATTGAGCTGGGGAATTCATTCTTTTCCATTCCTTTAGAAAGGAGACCCAGAGCAGGCCACACTCATGTGTGACAGACAGCAGTACCCATTCATGTTCAGTCTTCCCCAAGGTTTATCTTCTGTCTCCCACTCATTATAATGTAGCCCCAAAGGGCCTGGACTGTCCGGACCCTCCACAGAATCCGCACTGACCGACTCTATCCACGACATCCAGTTGATCAGACCAGGGGAGAAGAAAAGGCCTTACTACAGTATCTGTACTCTAGAGGGTAGATGAGCCCCATGAAGATTCAAGGAAACGCTGTATCAGTGAGGTTTTCAGGAGTCCAGTGGTCTGGGGCAGGTCAGGACATTCTCTCTAAAGGGAAGGACACTTTACTGAATCTCGTTTCTCTTACCAGTAAGAGTGAATTACACCAAGCAGCAAGCTTTTTTGGGGCTTGGAGGCAGACCTGGGAGAATTACTGCCAGGCAGCAGGGCTGAGCCTAACGGAACTGGCCACGCACATCGGGCTGGACTTTAGAACTGCTCTGGATTTTAAGCTTCTCCTCCTTTTCAAATTTGTTTAATTTTAATTGTTTTTAAATTGAAGTACAGTCAGTTTACAGCATGTCAGTTTCTGGAGTGTCTGCAGTGGTGCTGCCATGCCGTCCCACCATCTTCTCTTGGGTACTGGAGATTGGGTGGAGATAATGCCTCTTTTGAGTTCAGTGGCTTCCAGTTGAAGAGAGACTGCTCAGTCAAGAAGCTGTACCTGAGGATCGGCGCGGGAGGAAGCCCGTCTGCACCGGCACCTGGGTAGATGATGCAATCCTAGACTTTGAGCCCAAACGTGATGCTGAAATAGGGCGTGACTTTGGGAGAGGAGGTGAGTATATTTTGCACATGGCGGGAGCAGTGTGACCCTTCCCCCAAACGGCCACAACAGTATTTCCCATCTCATCTGCTCTTCTAGAACCTTTCCATGCTCCCAGCAAGAGGTGGACTTTTTGTCCCCTCCCTTTGAACTTGAGTGGGCTTTGTGACTTTCTCAACTATCAGAGGATGGTGGAAGTGATGCTGTGTAACTTTTGAGTTGTTGTATGAGGTTGACACAACTCTCACGAGTGTCCCCATCTCTCTCTCTCAGGGTGTTTGCTGCTGAAATTCTGCCATGATACTTCAGGGCCGCCAAGCAGCCCATTGGTAAGGCCACTTGTGGGAGTTCTGGTCGACAGTTCTAGCTGACGTTCTTAAAGCTGGCACTGGCTGCCAGATTTGCGAGTGTGTGAGCCTTCTGATAATCCCAGCCTCTACTTGTCCTTGGAGCCACTCCGGGTGATGCCACATGAGCAGAGATGAGCTAGCCCCGCTGAATCTGAGATCTGAAACAACCCTGAAGAGCCATCCCAGCCCCAGAGTTTCCCGTGGGATTGACTGTGCATGTGCAGAAGTCATCTATGAATATGGAGGTCAGGAGAGAGGTCGGGGCTGAGGAGGTTAATGTGGGAGACAACAGAATGTACATAGTTTTAAAAACCTTAAGTCTGGGTGACATGACTTACGGAGAAAGTACAGAGGGAGAAGGGGGTGTAGGACTGAGCTCTGGTGCACTCTGTTACCTAGAGAGCTGGCAGAGAAAGGGAATAAGGGAAGAGGAGGAGAAGAAGGAGACTGTGGTCTCTAAGCTGGGAGAAGTGGACCTCCCAAAGGAGAGGGCTGCTGAAGGATGGAGAATTGGACACTAAGATGTCTATGCAATTTGATACAATGCTAGGTCACTGGAAATCCGTCAAGAACAGTATTAGTGCAGTCCAGGGGCAAAAGCCAGGGGAGGAGTCTGGAGAGTTCATGAAAGTTTGGAGGTGGAGACAGAACGTAGAGAACCAGTGGGGGAATAATTCAATGTATGAGGGCTGACCTTCCATGAGGACCAGGCCACTTGTCAGACAGAGAAGAAGGACACAGATGCAGGTTGATTTCTGTCTAGAAGTAGAACCGTAAGAGCTTTTGTCAAAACCCTTTGCAGAGAGCGCCACTGTAAAGGATTCCAACCCCAGCCCTTCTAGCCTGAGTCCAGAAGGTCAATCAACAAACCCACAGAGGAAGCCCTGACCTTTTCCTTCTCAGAGTTCCTGCTCCAACTCTCTGTTGTCCGGGACTCCAGACTCGTCTGCGGGGCTGTGGGCTCCAGAGCAGGTCTTTTGTTCATTTGTGTTCTCGGTGGTTCCAGGAAGTATTGGCTCTTAATGAAAGCTCACTCACCAACTCACCACTTGCTGATTGCTTGCTTGTCAATTTCATCTAACCAACTGGAATCCAAGCAGCTTATAAAGAAACTACATAGCATCAGGGCTGTTAGACGTTAACCCACTAGAAAGATCAGAATTCTCAGAGAAAGGAGAGGGTTTGAACGGGTCCCTGAGGCAGGTGGCTGGTGGCTCTTGGGCATTAACACAAGCTTCAGGTTTCCTGGCAACTGGGGGCGGGGGGGGCGGTGTGGGCAGCTGGTTGTCAATTAAACAAATGGTCTTTATTTCGTGAAATTTCTGGGTGTTGTTTCAACATTAGAAGGAGGCTCTCTGTCTCATGAAGCCCCAAGTCCTTGGGTGGGCAGCTCCTTCTCCTTGATACCAGGAGGAGACAGAAACCCCCCAGCACAGGAGCTGTGACATCCCTGCTCCATGTCAGGCCCAGATGGGATCCAAATGGCTGCGGTGGTCGGTCCCCGTTAGGATGGTGGTGTGCCCTTGTTTGGTCCCCAACCTGGGGGGTCAGAAGGGCCAGGACTCTGGCTCACACCTGCAGGTGAAGGGAAGCTGTTGGGCTGTTGGCAGGGTTGGGGTGGGGGCTAAGGGTTGAAGAGGCAAAGGTTGTAGGAAGCCGGTACCCACTGTGGCATGAGAGGGGGCCCCTGTTTCAGACACAGACTCCCAGCACAGCTGTCAGACCTTCATGTCCCCACCCAGGGTTTTGCAAAACACAGAGATGAGGCCCAGGACTGCATGATTAGTTAGCGCTCACCCGCCAGAACTGCATTTACCAGCGACCTCTGACACCGTCCACAGCTGTGGTCGGCAGGCTGCACAGCTCACTGCAGCCAAGTCCCAGGCAAGCAGTGTGACCACCGCAGAAGGAAAGGACACAGCCTCCCTCTGTCAGACTTTGAGGACTGGCTTTTGTCTTTCACTTCACAGACAGCTTAACATTGTCATGGAAAAACATTTTATTAAACATATTCAACTCACTTCCAATGAAATGATTCATTTTTCATTTACAGTGGTGTCCAATGTTTGTCTTCTGTTCTTTTTTTTTTTCCTTTCAAACCAGCACCAAAAAGTAAAACAAAAATACCATGGGTACAGTACGTAATGTAAGGTAACTAATGGAAAATATATACATTTGACTCTGAAGTGAAGAAAAGAGAACAAAACAATGATCTTACTGCCATTGAAGATCTTTCCCTGTTTTCTGATAATATCAAGTCGTGGTCAACTGAGAGGGTTTCATTTGCACCTATGAGAATAGCACCATGAGACCGCGAGACTCTGTAGTTAGTAACACAATTTGTGCAACCAAAAAGGTACAGTACTCGAGTGACAGTACAGGGTATTTTGAACCATAAAGGACCATCACGGTTGTAATGACAGGGTTTCACTGTCTTCCGTACAAAGTGGAGCAAGAGAGCCATGATGCCTTCACCGACATCAATTGTTGCTTGTGCCGTGAACAGAAGGTGGGCTGGTGAGTTTCAGAACAACAGTGCCAGCATGAGCTAAAAGCGCTCAGAAAGACCCGAACTTGGGGGAACCCAAGGGATGTTTAACAAGAACTGAAATCAGTCATTTGCATTCTGAGGGTGTGAGGCCCTTGCCAGGGGCGTCCAGTTGATACAGTCAAGGTGGCCAGCAGGGAGATGCAGAGGCAGCAGGGAAAGTGCCCGCCTCTGGGCACACGCACGTGCCTGCCCTGCCTGGGTGGGCCCGTGGTTCCCATGCAGACGAGTGAGCAAGGCCACGCTGGCTTCCTTAGCGGGCTGCACGGCTCCGCCCCTCAGCCCCAGAGGCTGATGGCTAGCTTTCTGTCCATCTGTGGTAAAGGACAACCCATTTGGGGCTGGGGGATAACTTGAGCCTTAGCTCCCCAAGAGACTGAAGGAGCTTTGGGGACTCTCCTGGTGGCCAAGTCAGAGCAAGAGAGGCCCTGGGCAGCCACCTCTGGAGGTTACCCTGCAGGTGGGCCACGCCATCCTGGCGCTTGCCAGGATCTTTCCACAGAGCACCCATAGCGCCTTCTCAACACTTCTTACGGATTCAAGGAGAACTGAATAAATTCTCTGCCCCACCACCACTTCCCTGCCTCGAGGGCAGTCAAAATCAAAAACCAAAACGCAGCCCACCAGACAGGCTTGAGGTGGCAGAGAGGTTTTTTGTTTCCTTTCTGATTGAAGCTGACGCTAAAGTTATGACATCAAAAACACAAACACAGATACGTACACACAGCACCAATAAACCAAGAAGCACATGGAGATGATCCCATGGAGATGAGCCTAAGTGAGATCCCCTCTGAAATAAGGGAGGCGAGGGTGGGCTTCTCACCGTAAAGTCTTTGAACACGAGCACCCATCAAACGCCGGCCGAGTCGGGCAGCAAACCAGACCTCCTGGCATGTCGGGTTCCCTCCTCCCAGCTCCCCGGCGGGCAGGGTCCTACCATCTTCTGTGCTTTCACAGAGGTCACCCTGGTCATCTCCCCTGGGCTCCAGAAGGGACACAACTCTGTTTTCAGGGGTGAGGGGACTGGAGGAGCAAAGACCTTCTTCATGCTTTTCTGAACGTCATTCTTGCCTCGAGAAGATGGGTCAATGATGACAACACATTGACAAGCACTGTGAGGTCTGAGCCACGGGAAGGCTCGGTGGGCGGGCAGCGATCCTGGCCAGGGGGCACCCCCAACCCACCGTGCACCAGGCTGAGCAGCCCCTGCGGGAAACCCGCCCTGTGCCGGGGCGAAGCAGCCAGGCCTGAGCTTGAGTCCTAAAGAGGTTCTGAAAAGCGTCAACTTCAGGTAGACGACCAAGGTCAATGGGAAGCCATCTGTGAGGTGCAAAGCTTTATGAAGCACTGGCTAGAGCAGAGGTCCCCAGAAGCAGAGGGGGAGCTCCCTACACCCCAGAGCCCTGAGCCCAACTCTATGCCTGGAAGCAATCCCCAGGCCACAATGAGTACGTGCCTCATGTCACAGCGCCTTGAAGGAAGGCTTTTCTGCTTCCCTGTGTGGGGGACAGCAGAGATCTGAAAATTAGAGGCCTCCCCAAACCCAAACCCTTCCAGAATATTCTCCCCCAACATGGGTGGTACGGAGAACCACATAGCCCCGGGATCCCCGTTGGTTCACACAGACTCAGACTCTCAGGGGCGAAGCTCCCAAGGAAAGGCCCAGGATCTACAGAGCGGGCTCTGCGCCACAGGTGGAGGGGACAAGGGCTGGTTCCTGTGGCGTCGAGGGGGATCCGGAAGCCCGGCCCTCTTCGGAGAAGCCTTTGGCAGAGGCTCGCTGACATCTGTCCTTCCATCCAGGGCGTCACTGGCTTTCAGAATAAAGCCTGTTTTAAAGTAAAACGTCTCATGTTTTTGGATAATCCCCCCTCCCATGGTACATCAAGCACTGGGAATTCCAACGTCAAAGGAAAGCCAAGACCCAGGCACGCAGTAACGTCCCTCGCGACCGTCTGTCGGAGGTGTTCCCTTTGAGGTGCATGGGACCTTAGAAATCACAATTATGTTGTGCCTCATGCCTCTTTTTTCCTTACCATAGAAAGCCATCCAGTGGCTGTTAACAATATATTAAGTATAAAAGCACTAAGCAAACTTCAAGTCCACTCTCAAGTTCTACGCAACCGGATTCTTGGGACAGCCTCCTGGGTGAGCGGCGGTGAGCTGGGGGGGGGTCCCGGCCGTGGGAACTGGTGTGCTCTCGGGTGGGAGGGCTTTCAACTCGCCGTGTCGTCGGGGCTCAGACCTCGCGTCGGAGCGTCGTGGGACCACGGGGCCACGTGTCATGAGCTCGGTGGCGGTGGCGGCGGCTGGCGCATCTTGTTCGCATAGAAGTCCCTGCACGTCTGGCAGCAGCGCTGGTACCACCGCATGTCCTGGCAGAGGTTCTTTTCTCGGATGACCCTGCAATACACTGTCCACTGGTCCCGGGTGCATTTGTAGGTCAGAGCAGCTAAGGGGACAGCGGAGAGAGAAAGCCACGGGGTTATGGGTGGCACGGGGACTTCACGGTCCACACACAGGGGGCCTGTGGTCTGACACGCTCTGGGCTGCACTCACTCACGCGTACGCTGGAGCCTTGCACAGAGTGGGGGAGCCCTGCCCCCTGCCAGGGCCACTGTGGATATGGCTTTCCTCTAGAAGGGACACACCCCAGCTCCAACCTGACCACTTGGCAGAGTTTGGTGGCCTGGCTGTCTCCTCAGGGCGAGGGCCCTGCCCATCCTGCTTCTGACTTAAGAGTTAAGTGGCGCATACTGTTACTTTATGGCGGAGGATGCCATCTGTTGGCATTTATAAAACAGGATGCCACGGAGCAGGGCACAGCAAAGGGCTCACCAAAGCACAAGGTTACAGCACAAGCAAGTGGCCTGAGTCCCCCTCGAGGTCTTGGTCGTGCAGAGAGAAGGTCCTGCCTGAGGGAGGTCTTTGGAGGATGCCAAGGAGGCCTGTGCATGCAAGAGCCTGGGGTGCAACTCTGGGAGCTCAAAGACTCCACCAGGGAAGCTGCTTAGAAACCCCCTTCACGGGGGTGGCATTCCAGCATTAGGGAAAGGGGCTGTGGGTGGGAAAATGTTCCCTGGAGATTTCTACTTGGAAAAGCAGAAACTCTGTTCAGTGGAATCATCAGATCAGTGTTAAATATTCTTCTTCCTGTGCCACTGCCAACCAGGGATGTGGCCTTGCAAAGGGCCAGATTTGGAGTACTCAGGCCAAACTGCTCACACAAAAGCTCCCTGCTGCATTCAAGACGTCAGCCTCTCAAAACCTCTGTTTTCTTCTCGAACATTAGCTTAAGGAACATTCCATACATGCATCACCAAGATTTCATGAATGACACCCCCAGATCCTTCATTTCCCGAAGCAAGCACCTCCCTTTGCTTCCTTCATGCATTTGAAGAACATTCTCCCACGTTCCCCATTTGTTGCCAGACGGGCTCAAGTGTTTGAGACTACGCTTAACAAACACCTTTTTCAAGCCAAGGAATGAAATTCCATCCCTGAAACCTCTGATCTTCCACGGAACTTACAAATGTTGGCCTCTCCAGAACTCAAATAAGGCCCAAGGAGGGGGCGTTCTGGCTCACAGAACTTGTTCCACCAGCGGGGACTCACTGGCCAGGGGATGCGACCCGCCCCCAGGAGCTGGAGGCCAGCAGAGTCACTCACCGAGGCGAGGGGAGGTGATGGTGTTCACGTTGATCTTGTCATTGCAGACTTCTTGGTGACACTGTCTGTAGGCTGCTGGCTTTGAGAGGGCAGGACACTCGTTGCCATGGCGCCCGGTGACCTTGTGCATGCACTGCACCACCCGGGACTGCAGGCCCTTCCCACAGGTCGAGGAGCACTGCCGGAGACAGGGACAGCCTGAGCTGGGGGCCTAACTCAGGCCGAGGGGCTCTGACGATGGCCTGACAAAGCAGCCGCCCTGGGTCTGGCCCCTGCATAACAGTCCTAAGGACTTGAAATCATTGCAGGACAAGAGGGCTTGGCTGTACACCAGCCGCCTGATGGAAGACTGTTTCAAGGTGTCATGGACTGCACATTTGTATTTCCCCAACGTTAACATGTTGAAGTTCTCACCCCTAATGGGATGGTATTTGGAGATGGGTCCTTTGGGAGGTCACTGGGTTTATATGAAGTCATGAGGGTAGTGCCCCCACAACGAGATTAGTGTCCTTGCAAGAAGAAAAAGAGAGAACAGAGCTCTTTCCACCACATGAGGGCATATGAGAAGGCGGCTGGCTGGGAAGTGGTCCATCGCTAAGAACCAATTATGCCAGCACCTTGACCTTGGACTTCTCAGCCTCCAGAACTATGAGAAATCAATGTCTTGTTGTTCAAGCCACCCAGCCTGCGGCATTTTATTACAGCAGTCCGCGCTGACTAAGACACAAGACAACTTCTGAAATACTAATTTATTCTGGTTGCGTTTCACTTCCCACCCTCTCACCCCTGTTCCAAGCAGAGAGCCAGCTGGGCTCTGAAATTCTCCAGACAGTGAGCAGGGTGGCTTGCCGGCACCCAGGAGGGACCGGACCTGATGACCACAATGTCGCCAGTACTTTGTGCCACTCCTGGGCCTTTGCCCAGCCCTGAGTGTGGGGTGGAGAGGAGCCCGATAATGATCGGGTTGAATTTCCAGGAGCCTGGAAGGTGGGGGCTCAGAATTAAGGGAAGTTAGAGAAAATGAAGAAGCACAACCTTTCTCGCATAAAGGACTCGTGGACTAAAACTGTAGCTAAGAGTTTTAACTCAGCCACCAAATCCCTAGTTACTGGCATTTCTGACGTTTGCAAACCTGGGTTAGCTCAAATCAAGCCAACAGAGTTCAGCAGATCACCCCACGCTCCCAACAGGTGCCTGGTAAGAATTTACTGTGTGTTCTGTCCCCTTCCCGTTCCTCTTCGCGCTCTTTAAAGTGCTGACAGGGCACCTGCCAGGCTCCAGCTCCCGCTCCCGCCCCTGCGTACCAGCTCCTCGGCCCTTGTTTGCGCTCCCCGGAGCCCTTGGAACTGTCTCTCTGTTAAGTTGGTCTCCTCCCAGCCAGACAGCCAGGTCCACCTGTCTACTCTCTCCACCTGGGGTCCCCCAGCATGCACACAACCCGTGATTTACGGGGTTCTGAGCACACTGTGCACAACTTCAATCCAGCAAAGACTACAGGTGCAGTCCTCCAGCTGGAGGGAGGGGAGAGGGGCCTGGTCTCTGAATGCCACAGGCAGGGAGGACGCCAGGTGCAGTCCGGATCACATGTTTCCCTAATGTCCCCTCTTGGGTCTGCCCGTGGCCTGTGCTGGAGGAAGTGCCTTCCCTGGGGGCATATGAGGGGTCACCTTGCACAGGCTCGGCGGGAGACTGTGGTGTTACCATCTGTGCCCAAGTGGGCACCGTCTGTGTTCCCAAAGCGGCTTTGGTTCCCCCAGTGAATTCCTCTGCTTTCTAGTCTAACAAGCAGGATAACGTTTGTTTGTTTGTTTGTTTATTTGTTTGTTTGTTTTGTTTTCACTTTAGAAGGAGAACATGGCACTCTGATAGGATCCAGTCTTTTCAAATCACAAAAGAGATGGGAAAAACCACAAGGGGCTCCCTGGTGGGCCCTGGTATGTGCAAACCAGAACAGGCCCTCCCAGACAGGTAAGGTCTGCCCCCGGGCCTCCGCTTTGTGCCTTGCTCGCTGTCCCGTCTTCTGGATAAATCCGGCCAGGGCTGCTCGCAGCCTTGAGAATCCCTCATATACTCATGATTTCTGCCTGGAGGGCATCTCGGAGGGAGCTGGCTGCAGCATGGGGTTACTTGTTGCTTTTAAAGATTCTGATGTCCCAGACCAGTCAGTCAGTATCACTGGGCATCAGTGTTTTTCAGAGATCTCCAGGTGACTGCAACAGGCAGCCAGAGCTGAGAACTGACTTGCCCTGAACTTCCTCCTTGTGTCCTGTGTGGAGTGGGACAAGCTCTCTTTTCTTGCCATGAAGTAGTGGAGCATTTGTATACAAACCTGTGTGATTAAGCAGGAACAGACATCCCCCCGCTGCCCTGATGGCTGAGTTTATATACAGGTGACAGGTTGCTCAAATATAAGGGGTGAAGGCTTCCACTCAAAATTATTCTTGGAAAAGAGTCAGTTGCCTTGCATATAAATAATAATAAAATCTCTTACAGTACAGGGGCAGGGGGAAGGGGTGCCTTCGATTATTTGTAGCAAGATCACGGGGGGTTTGAAAAAAAAAGGAGGCAAAGAAATTTAATTGTCTTCTCCTAGAAGCAGGACTTCATAATCATAAATGGGGGAGGCTGGTGCAGGAAATATTTAAAGATCACTTGAAAAGCAATCTGGTGAGTGGTTGTACCCAGAGATGGGAAGTCCACATCAGCAGGATGAGTGAAGGAAAAGGCCCAGGGTCCTAATGCAGTGCCCTGCCAACGCAGAGCAAAGTCTTGTCTATGCAAAGTCACACCAATGCAGAGCGAGGTCACGCCAGTGCAGGGCAAGGTCACATCAATGCAGGGCAAGGTCACACCAACCCAGAGTAGGGTCATGTCAACACAGAACAAGGTCATGCCAGTTCGGAGCAAAGTCACACCAACGCAGAGCAAAAGCAGGGCACAGCTTGTAAGGTAATTTCCAACGAGAACAGCACATACAGATTCAAAAAAGGTGGCATGCCAGTGGACCTGGATGCCAGTGCCCTGGCACACTGGCAAAAGGAACAGCGGACTCAAAGTGGAATGAGTGATGACGAAGACAGACCCTGCAAATATCAGGCTGCACTTCATAAAACTGCTTCTATTCAACCATTTTTGAGTCCACATAAATGGCAATTTCATCAGGCTCCACTTTATAATACGCTAAAGACAGAAAATAGCAGTATTTCTAAATTAAAGCATAATGTGTAACTTTAAATAGGAATGTATAACTACATGAATAAGTTACATATTTTAATTAGTCATCTGACCAGTCCACCTACACCATTAAAGACATTTGTACCCAAATTGGTTGTACAAGTTTTTAAAAGCCCTGCTCCCTGGGAAAGCACGCACTTGGGGCCTTTTTCCTGTGACTATTGGGCACTTAGCAAGGCCCACCTGGGGAAGAAGGGCCACGTGTGCTGCTCTAGCCACCAGCAGCCCGTCTCTTCAGATCCTGAGTGGGTCCGCTGGTGCCACCTGCTGTGAGGGACACACCAGCAGGGAGAGCGAGGTGTCCTCCCAGTTCTCCCTGGAGAAAGGGTGCATCCAGGGCCGGGCAGGTGGTGGTGGGGTTTCTGGGTCCCTGGGAAACTGCACAGGCCAACAGAGAAGGACCTGGGACTATGGCCATCCTGCGCCCATGGCCACACCCACCCCCCCTCACCCCGCCACACACACACACACACACACACACACACACACACCCACCACCACACACACACACACACACACACACACACACACACACACACACACACACAATTGCTTCTGTGAACATCAGGGCAAGGGCTCAATCCTATGGATCTACTAAAACCAAATGCAAAATTGACAAGGTCTCTGGTGGTAAAGGATCAATGACCATTGTAAGACTCAAGAGTCTAGGGGTGACCCTGAAGACTAACCTCTCCTCTGAAAGTTCTCAGTCTTGTTTCACATGTGGTGGGGCTGGGGAGGGGTGGGGTGGCATTCATGTCACCTCCAGCCCATGCGGACGATATGCTTGTTCTTTCCGTGGGCTCCCCTGCCGGATTCTACAACAGTGTGGAACATTCCGTAACAATCCTAAGAGGCTGACCTTGGCCCGAGCTTGATGGTCACCAGTGTGTTGCCCAAGGTCACAGTGTTACTGAGTGGCAGAGGGGACACAGGACCTCAGCTGCCCCATCCCAGGGACCGAATTCCATCTTTCTGTATGACTCACAGGTTGCACTGGATGGAACTTTTATGGGGGGCCAGGAATCAGGAAACCAGGTCATTGCTTAGCTCCATCATTTCTTCATTATCCTTCCTAGCTTGGGTCACTGGTTTTTAATTTTCCAGTCTGTAAAAAGAATGGCCCCATGAGATCACAGAGGGGATCTCCAAAGTTCTTCCACGGAGACTCAAGCATCTGTTCTCACGGCCTTCCAACACCTCTGCAAGGGAGGGCCAGGCCAAGAGAGAGGCTGGGGCTGACCCTTAGTCGTGGTGGGGGCACTCTGAGATCCTATAGACTCTGTCTATCACAGGGATTTGATTCTGGGATTAGGTTTTGCTAAATTTTAGCTGGGGGCTGCTGGTCACAGGGCTCTAGGCTGTGAACAGCTTGTGCTCACTCGGAAGGACTTTTGGGAACATCGGGTGTTGGCTGAGTCACCTGGGAATTGGGTCTGAGCCAGCCCTACCTAGGCTGCTTCAGAGCATTAGGTGAGGAAACAAACAGGTGACAGAGTGGCTCATGCAGAAACCATCCCATCCTTGTTCAGTACTCACGTGTGTGTGTGTGTGTGTGCGCTCACCTATATAAAAGTTTGGAAGACAAACCATTGAAAAAATTTACCAGGCTATCATCTGGTTCATGGGACTAGTTTTTCTCTTCTGTGTCTTCCCAAACAAGATAGTGTGAACAAAAAATACTGCCTGCCATATCAGTAATCAAAGGATGCTGTGGCCATCAGCCATCAGCCACTACTCCAGACCCTGAAGGTGACCGGAGGGAACTCAGGATGCAGACAAGCAGGCAGCCTGGCCTCTGCTACCACCCCCAACTGTGCTCCACCTTTGAGAGAGGGAACTCAGGATGGGAAGGAACAGAACACTGGCCCTAGACAGCTAAGTGCATCTCAAAGGAATGAATTCAATGAGCCCAGACTTTTGCATCTTCCCATACATAGAAAA